TCCCCCCCTCTTTCTCTCTCTCTCTCTCCCTCCCCCGGCCCCGCCCCCAGGATCAGCAGGCCAATGAGAGCCGGCCGTACGACGTGGCGCTGATGCTGCCGCTGCTGCAGGCGCCGGTGAGGACGGTGCTGGACGGGGTGAACGTGGGCCGGGGCCACGGCCTGGTGGAGGGCGACGAGCGCAGGAACTTCGACATCAGCACGCTGTCGGCGGACGTGTGGCACATCCTGGAGTTCGACTACAGCCGGCTGCCCAAGCAGAGCATCGGCCAGTTCCACGAGGGCGACACCTACGTGGTCAAGTGGAAGTACATGGTGAGCACAGCAGGTCAGTGCGAACGCCCGTCCCGATCGCCCGCAACACCCGCCCACACACCCCCCTCCTCTCTCGCCCACCGTGACACGCGGGTGACAGCAGGGCCCCCTGTTGCACCCCACCCCCTTGTCACCTCCAGCTGTGTTGGGACAGGGGGATTACATGCTGTTTTTTGGGTGCTGTGCAGTTCCACCGAATTGTTTGCGCTGCAGCTTTATTTAGCCCGGGAGGTCAACTGAGAGCTCGTGTCAGTCTTTCTGTGCTGACAGGTGTGGCCTGTTGTTTTCTGTACTCTACTGCTGTTCAGGTGGCGTTATCATATGATCTCATGTGCACTTTGGTGGCTTTGCTTTCAAAGTCACTCTCGACGAGAGCATTTGCCAGGCGACCAAATGCGAAAATATAAATGGGGCAAGCAGGCAGGTTAAAAAAAAAGGAAGAGATTTCACAGACTGTCAGCTGTAGGCGAGTCGATTAGGTGGTCAGATCGAGAGGGCTAAACTGGGGCTTGAGTCAGCAGCATGGTGGTTAATACCCTGACTCTGTTTACAAGTGCCATGGGATCTTTGGTTATTAAAGATTTAAAGTTGCGTTATCATCACACGCTCCTCCTCTTTAAACCTTAAAGGACTTGAGGACCCTTGTTTCAGCTTTCAACAAATGGGGAAAAACATGGAGCTCTTAGCAGTTTTTTTTTTCTCTCCTGAAGTGCTACATGCTATATCCTATTTTATACTCTCGTCTCCTCTGTGGACCATATAAAGAGCTCTCGCAAGGCTGTCCAAGCTAGTCCTCTCTTGGAGTGTTTAGGTAATAATTTTCCACAGTGTAAACTGGAGGGATGAGAATGTAATTCCATACTGTATTGCGGGCAGCCAAATCCCCCTACCCCCAACCCCCCCCTCGGTGCATTACCGTGCTCCATTTCTCCAGAATGCAGGCCGGAGGTAAACCATAACACCATAAATCGTGAGGATTCGTCTGAGGCTGGAGTTTAAGAGCCGTTGAGATGATATATGGCAAGGCTTTGGTTGGGAGAGATCCCATGTTTAGCCTGGTATCTGTCTTAAGCCAACGAGCCGATTACTGTGAGAACAGCTTCAAAGACACCATTGACTCAGTGTTCCAGTTATGACCCCTTGAGAAAGACTACTGCTTATTGCTGAGTAAGAGCTTCTCTTTAGAGTCTGCAGTTTGGCCATGTGTTTGCTGTTTGTGTCGGAGGGGACAATGACGTGTCAAGTCTGAAATCTGTTTCGTGTATCTTTGGCTGCCGTTTCTCTTTTGATGGTGAACTATTTTTGAACTGTTTGTGAACTGTTGTGAACCCCACATTTGCCATACTTTTTGCTCATGTATTTTATTTTACAGACACCCACGTGAGGACAAGTCTTAATAGTTAAAAGTATAGAGAACAGCTAAAAGTAAAGAATGTAATGAGGTCTACTAACCACAGCTGTATTTATTCATGAGCATTTAACTAGTTGACTACTTAAAGTAATCCCCCAAAGCTTAGTAATGCACTCATTAATGCATTAGTATGTTCACTCCTCTCCTTCAAAAAGGAATTTCATTAGGGGAAAAAGTGGTTAGGTTTCAGATAAATGAGGAGCAGTTGAGAATTTCTGTGGAAAAAAAGCTTTTGAGAGTGATGAAGGTTTTGCCATGATATTAAACTAAAGTGGCATTTCTTCATACAGATCTATAAAAAAGAAGCCTAGTTCCTTGGATATAATCTAAGGCATGTACTGTTTTGTGTCTGCGTGCGTGCGTGTGTGTGTGTGTGTGTGTGTGTGTGTGTGCGTGCGTGTGTGTGTGTGTGTGTGTGTGTGTGCGCGTGTGTGTGCGTGTGTGTGTGCGTGTCTGCAGTTGGGAAGAGGCAGAACCCAGAGCAGGTGCGTGCGTGCGTGCGTGCGTGGCGCTGGGAAGGAGTGTGTGTGTGTGTGTTTGTGTGTGTGTGTGTGTGCTTGTGTGTGTGCTGTGTGTGTGTGTGTGTGCGTGTGTGTGTGTGTGTGTGTGTGTGTGCGGGCGTCTGCAGTTGGGAAGAGGCAGAACCCAGAGCAGGTGCGGAGTGCGGGTGCTGGGAAGGAGAAGTGCGCCTATTTCTTCTGGCAGGGCCGCAATTCCACAGTCAGCGAGAAGGGCACGTCGGCTCTGATGACGGTGGAGCTGGACGAGGAGAGAGGGGCCCAGGTACAGTGCTGCTCGCCCTCTATGCTGAGCTGAGCGCAAGGCCCAGCCTTACACGCTGGCCTGAGATCAGTCCAAACTCCTCACTGTGTAAAAGGAAGACTTAATCATCAGGTAATGGATCTGATGGTCATTGTTCAGAGATGACCAGGATGCCGCTCTTCTGAAACAAAGTTCCTACAGCATGGTGGTGCTTGTTTATGTTCAGATGCAACCTTACAGATGAGCACAGTGCTGAGTATATTATGACTGCTGACTCCACTATTGAAAGTATGACTCTAATGTGCTATTGAGAAGGACCCTACTGTGCCATTGAGTGTGACTTTCCTGTAGTGTTGATAGCAAGGCTTTGGTTTGCTGTTGAGAGCAGGACTCTGCTATTTTCCAGGTCCTGTTAGCAGCAGTGATATCAGTAGCCTGCAGCAGTGATACCAGTAGCCTGTAGCAGTGATATCTCTAGCTGGCTCAGACCAATAGCAGTGAGATATCTCCAGTCTGCTCAGAGCACTGCAATGAGATATCTCCAGCCTGTGGCAGAGCAGCTGCAGAGCACTGATGATATCTCAGCCTTTGGCAGTGATGTCTCCAGCTTGCTCAGAGCAGTGCAGTGAGATATCTCCAGCCTGTAGCAGTGATGTCTCCAGCCTTCTCAGAGAGTGACTCTGCTGTTCTTCAGGTCCAGGTGCAGCAGGGAAAGGAGCCCCCGTGTTTCTTGCAGTGCTTCAACGGAGGGATGATCGTGCACTCAGGAAAGAGGGAAGAGGAAGAGGAGAACACACAGAGTAAGCGCTGCCTGTCCTCTCCTGTGCCCTTCCTCCTTTCCCTATGCTTCCCTCTCCACTTCTACCCTCTTCTTTCCGCCTTTGTTTCCCTCTTCTACCACCTCTCTTTTCTCTCCCTGCACCCATCTTCTCAGCCTCCCCTTTTTTCCTTATTTTCCTTCTTTCTCCCTCTTTTCCTTCTCCCTCTTTCTGTCTCTCTGCTCTTTTCTACCTCTCCTTTCTTTCTGTGCATCCATCTTCTCTTTCTTGCCTTTTCTCCTCCCCTCTTCTTTTCCTTCCTTTTCTCTTTTCTCTTCCACCTTTCTTGTCCCTCCCTGCCTCCATCTTCTCTTGCTTTTTTCCCCTTTTCTCATTCCTTCTCCTCTCTTCCTTGTTTCTCCCTCTCTTTCCCTTTTCCCTTTCCCTAATCTCTCTTCCCTGTACTTTCTTCTTTCCAGTTCCAGTCTGTTCCCTCTCTCCCTCTGTTGCACTTTCCACCTTCTCTCTAGGTCATTGTGCCAGCTCTCAATGTGTGGAAATTCAGGGCAGGAAACAGGGTTTTGAATGCACATGAAAACACGCTTTGTTTGCGCTGAGTGGTTTGCGCTGGCTGCTTCCCGTCTGACTCGCATAGCAGACCTCACAGTTCTGACGCCGCTAAATAAAACAGAGACATTAATTCTTTGTGTTTATTTCATGTCTTTTGTCTGAAAATATCTTTTGACCCTCTCGCCCGCATCTTGTGCCATTGTTCCGCGGAAATGTTCGCTAATTTAGTGTAAACTCAGCAAGGAAGCAATCGCAATAAAGTTGTGCGCTTGTTTGAATCGTGTTTTGAAAAGTGTTCATACAACACTTAAAGCATAAGAGGTGAGTCTGAGGACACTACATCCTGTTAAAAAAAAGGCGGCAAAAAAGGTGGCAAAAAAAGTTAACAATACTGCTGTGAAGGAGCCCTCTGCTATAAGGTCTTTAAACCCTGATCTAAATTTTCCACTCGCAATGCAAGTTTTCTTTACTTCCGTTTCAGTGTGTGCATGTGTGCTCCTCTCAGAGCTGTCTCCACCGTTGCTTCGATGCTGCACTGTAATTTTCCACCTCTCCTGCACAGGAAATGATGGGCCACAGGATGCACAAATAGGGGCCTCAAGCTTATTGGTTTGCGTTCAGTTTGGATCAGAAGGCATTTGTTTTTTTTTGTCTTTCGTCTGTCTGTCTTTTCTCCTTGGTTTTGTGGGTTTTTTTGTTTACTTACTCGATGGTATTTCAACACCTGTCATCAAAGCTAATTCATACTTTCTTAAAGAAACCGTGACCAGCTAAAACTCGCATGCCGGTCAGATAACACCTTGTCAGCCTGCCACAGTGTATATGATAGTATTCATTTCTATAGCTTATTTTGAGCTTATTTTGCAATTAGACAAAAAGATGAGCAGAGACCATGGTCTGCATATGATCTATGATGATGATGAAGTGAATTACCCATAATCCTAGGAGCAAGGGCTTTCTCCACCAGCTCATTACCTGGGCGTTGGAGTTACCCCAGCTCCTGCTGCAATAGTTGTCCAATCTATTTTAGTCCAGTCCAGCTGAGCCCCTGATGGGATAGTTAAGGTCATGCCTCCCTTGCAGTAACTGGTCGAACCTTACAGCCATTGCTTAGCAGTATTTTATGGTCCAAAGAGAGCAGTCAGATGCACCAGGCATTGTCCCTGGGTTATATGTAGCATAGGGGCCGCAGTGTAGCATAGTGGTAAGGAGCAGGGCTCGTAACCAAAAGTTTGCTGGTTCGATTCCTTCCTAGGGCACTCCTGTTGTACCCTTGGGCAAGGTACTTAACCCATATTTGCATCAGTAAATATCCAGATGTATAAGTGAATAAAATTGTAACCTACTGTATGTAAGTCACTCAGGATAAGAGCATCTGCTAAATGACGATACTGGAATGTAATGTCCTTAAATTTGTCATGGTGCGTGCATGCGTGAATGATACGTGGATAGATATACTGACTGCACCTCTCCGCCTCTATCTCCAGATGACTGGCGGCTGTACTGCGTGCGAGGCGAGGTGCCGGTGGAGGGCCACCTGCTGGAGGTGGCGTGTCACTGCAGCAGCCTGCGGTCCCGGACCTCCATGATCATCCTCAACGTCAACAGGGCCCTCATCTACCTGTGGCACGGCTGCAAGGCCCAGGCGCACACGCGCAACGTGGGCCGAACCGCCGCCAACAAGATCAAAGAGCAGTGAGTGTCCACCTGATGTAACTGCCAGTGATGTCATCACCCTGCGACTCAGCTGTCCGTGTCCCTTTTAGTCATACCCTTATAAGAAGTCGTGCAGCTGGACGGTTTGTAATGTGTCACATGTCTGACATGACTGAATAAAATGCAGTGAGTGTCCTGGAGGAGAGTCTACCTGATGTAACTGCCAGTGATGTCATCATCATGCAACTCACCTGTCTGTGTCCCTTTAAGTCATGCTCTCATAGGAAAAACAGTTCAGCTGAAAGGTTTCTCACAAATCTGACATGACTAAATGAAACGCAGCCAAAGCATTGTTCGTGTCCAAACCTACTGACTGAATTATAAAGAGTGGATGAAAGTGTGCATCCTCATTACCTGCCTGTGTTTTCTCAGGTGTCCGCTGGAGGCGGGGCTACACAGCAGCAGCAAGGTGACCATTCACGAGTGTGATGAAGGGGCGGAGCCTGTGGGCTTCTGGGAAGCTCTGGGGCGGAGAGACCGGAAAGCTTACGACTGCATGCTGCAAGGTAGATACAGTGGACACAGTAGGCCTTCAGACACAATCCACACACATCTCACAATGTGTAGTTGGTGAAAATGCCTCAGTTAGCCGTATGCTCACGTTGTGCACTACCACACCCAAAGCCATCGGGACATGTTTAGATGCTAAATTCACTGCAGTCAATAGGGTCAGAATCAATGTTCAACAACATCTGAAAAGATGTTATTTGGAAGCAGTGTTACTTATTCAACAGGAACTGGCCAATCTTTGTGTTGTGAACTACTTCCTGTTTGCTATCTTGTTTGATGATCCAGAGCGTAACCATGTATTATTGAAACTATGTACACTATCATGGCCATTTAACATTCCTAAATGTCAATAACCAGTGTGACGTTAGGTGCTGGCGTTGTTGTTGAGTATCTTCACCATGTGACTCAGTGGTTCGGTTTCTGTGTGGTTTCAGATCCGGGGAAATTCAACTTCACCCCACGGCTCTTCCAGCTAAGCAGTTCTTCGGGGGAGTTTGTTGCCATGGAATTTTTCTACCCTTCCAGACACCCGGAGCTGGTCAACTCACTTCCCTTCCTGCAGGAGGATCTGTACACTGCCTCTCAGCCAGGTACATCCACACACACACACACGCACGCACACACAGGCACACACACCCACACACAGACACACAAGGACCAATACACACACAGACATACATGCACAGGAACCGATACACACACAACATGCACACACACAGGCACACACACACACACACACACACACACACACACACACGCACAAGGACCAATACACACACAGACATACATGCACAGGAACCGATACACACACAACACGCACACACACAGGCATACATGCACAGGAATCGATACACACACAACACGCACACACACAGGCATACATGCACAGGAACCGATATACACACAGAACACACACACGCAGTCACATGCACACACAGACACAGACAGAGATACAGGCATACACACACCCCGTTCATACTATATCCTCACTCACACGCTCGCCCAAGCTGCGATGTCACTTCCTCTTCCTGTGCGGCAGCCCTGTTCCTGGTGGACAACCATCACGAGGTGTACCTGTGGCAGGGCTGGTGGCCCCAGGACAGCGAGAGCACCGGCTCCGCCCGCATCCGCTGGGACGCGGACAGGAAGTGCGCCATGGAGACGGTGCTGCGGTACTGCAAAGGTAACGGAGGCGAGCCGAGGTCAGCGCCAGGGCCGGAGCAGACCAGAGACTCTTAACCCTTTCGCGTGTACGGTCACACCGGTGTGATTAGCCGTTTAGCGCGTATGCTAAAACTGGTGCAATTAGGACACTAGGTTGGAAAAATGCTAGCTAATTTTAGCTTTGAGGAAACGGCGATTTAACAAAAAATATAGCAAATGCAGCGGTGAAAACTATGAGAGGCCTAATAATGCTAATGAAAACATAATGAACCATGTAATGTAACATGCGCGCTACATAGCATAATATAAGTTACCTGTGAAAGCGTTAATGGAACATGACTTACTGTATGACTCCAAATGGCCAAAAACTTTTATTTGAGCTATCAAATATCCTGTCAATATTCTGATTCTGTGGAAAGTGACTGATGACAAATTTTTGTATACAGTGTATTTTTTTTTTTTTGAAAGAGTAGGGAAATTCCCTCGTGAGGTAAAGTGATTAGCAAAGAGTGTAGATCTGATCTTACCTATCTAACCCAAGTTTCACTTCTTCTCCTCTCTTCTCCTGGCCTTTCCTTCTGTACCTCTCTTCTTCCTCCTCATTTTCACTCTTTTCCATCTATACCAATTTCAAATGTTCATTCTCTCCTGATCATCTTAACCTCTCTTCCCCCCTCTCTTCATCCGTCTCCCTCTACCTCAGAGAAAAATCAGAAGAAGCCCCCGAAGTCGTACCTGATCCACGCCGGTCTGGAGCCGCTCACCTTCACCAACATGTTCCCCAGCTGGGAGCACCGTGAGGACATTGCTGAGATCACCGAGAGGGTGAGCACTGACCGCGCACTGACCGCTGCCCTGACCGTGCACTGACCACTGCCCTGACCGCACACTGAGTGGACTCTGCATCACTGACCGCTGTCCTGACCGTACACTGAGTGGACTCTGCATCACTGACTGCTGTCCTGACCGCACACGAACCACTGCCCTGACCACACACTGACTGCTGCCCTGTCTGAACACCAAGCAGGCTCTGCCACGCTGACTCCTCCCTCAATCACATACTGACCGCAGATTGACTACTGCCGTGAATGTACGCTAAGCAGACTCTGCATCATTGACTGGTCTACCTGACAGCACACTGACCATTGCCCTGGGCATGGACAGGAGACTGGGCATTACTGACCACTGTCCTGGCTGCACACCGACAACACTGACCGCATGTGAGCACTGCATCACATGCGCTGACCACAGCGTCCCATTTACACCGACCCACAACATCACATTCTCACTGATCAGACTCAGGCATCACTGACCATTGCATCATGTGCACACAGACTCGGTGCACATTAATCAAACATGACATCGTGGACCACTGAATCGTTTGCACACTGAGCAGGGGTCAACCACTCTGACCACAGCCTCACACAAACACTGGCGTTTTTCATTCCACAGCTGTCACACACACTTCAACCCACTCTGGTATGAGAATAAGACGTGTGCAGTGGAATAATCAAAGCACAGTCATTCTGTTCAGCCTATTGCAACAAAAGACTTCTAAACACAGGCTGACGAGTCTGGACTACAGATTCTAGATTCTATGGGGCAACAGTGTAGCATAGTGGTTAAAGAGCAGGGCTCGTAAGCGAAAGGTTGCCGGTTCGGTTCCCCGCGGGGGCACTGCTGTACCCTTGGCGAAGTACTTAACCCAGAACTGCCTCAGTAAATATCCAGCTGTCTAAATGGGTGACATTTAACACTGTAACCTGTGTAAGCTGATCTGGATAAGAGTGGCTGCTAAATGCCAGTAAAGTAATGTAGAACACTGTGATTTTCAGCAGACAAAGCACAGAATTCCAACCCCAGGAACTTGGTAACTAAACTAGTGTTGGAACTTGGCAGCATATATTAGGCAACATCTGCTGAGTGACAACATAAACCCCTGCATGGCTCCCCAGGTTGTCTCTACAGAAGAGAAACCAAAGAGAATCACATTTACAGTTGGCTGTCTTGGTTTTGAGAAGCAGAATTAAAGTGCATGTGTTGAAGTTGTTGGTGAAGGTTCTTTGCAACGTGTTGTGCAATCGGTCTGCGCGTGCCCCGCTCGTGTTGCTAAGTCCCCTGTCTGCTCATCCCCTGATTGGCCAGGAGGCGGAGGTGTGTAACCAGATCATCCTGGTGGAGGACGTGCTGGCCCGGCTGTGCAAGAACACCTACCCGCTGGCCGACCTGCTGGCACGGCCCCTCCCCGAAGGCGTGGACCCCCTGCGCCTGGAGATCTACCTGTCAGACGAGGACTTTGAGGTGAGACCACGCCCCCCCCGCTACACTGCTGTTCCGTCATTGGCTGATGTGTTGTTTCACTCAAGTCAGGCTGTATTTATACCAGGATCAACCAAATGAAACCTCCCCTAGTGCTCCACTTACCAGCCAAAACACACTGCACTTCCATTGTCAGCTGGTGTGTTAGCTGACTTAGATTGGGTTGAATTTGTGTCAGGATCGTCTACGTAAAATAAAAACCACACACAAACATTGGATGTTAATGATCGCAGAGTGAGGCTTTGTGAACCCCTCTGGTGGGTGTTGCCTCGTGCCGTCAATCACTGATACTGAATCACTGTGAACCAATACGAAGACTTTGCTCACTGTGGCAAAATGGCTTGATTGGTTCAGACAGTGAGTCACTGATGGCACACGACAGTTCCTCGTAGTTTGGAATCCATGAAACCTCACAATGTCATCACTGTGGGATAATCATTTTAATCATTTGTAGGTATCACCTTTTATGTTCAGTAATTCAAAATGTATGTGTATTTGTTTATTCAGAAGTGTCTTGTAGGCTAATTTCTTATGTGAAGAAAAGATAGTG